GTTTCTTGCCCATAATATGTGATTGTAGTTTTATCAGATGAGCATGACAGAAATACATTCCATTGGAACAATTATTAGCAGTTATTTTTATAAAAAGAAAAATACCAATATTCACAGTGGTATTTTATGAACACGCACACACACACACACACACACACACACAGTATTCAGCCAAAAACAGCCTGACTTTTAGGCATTTCACCATAAGTTTGAGAAATATTATTAAGTAAAATGTATTTATTAAAATATTAAATTTTAGATATCTTAGAATTCCAAATAGAGATACTTTCTGTAACCGCTTTTGTAAATAGAATTTTAAAAAAACACAAAACACTTTCACATAGTATTCATTAAAGTCAATTAAAATTATAGTTATGATGGAAATACACTGTAAAACATTATCAATGAAATATATTGTTTTAGAATGTAAATGTTTTAGAATGCAATAAAAAGGCATTGCATTCTAAAACATTTGTCAGTACTAACAGGAGAGAAAAAAATACACCTTGCACTTGATCTGTGGAAACAATTCAATAATGTCTATGTTTATGAGTAAAAAATAATAATAATAATCCTAAGAAAATTCATAAATTATAAATAGTTCATTCTAGGCCTTTTAACCTATCTAATAAAGAGGGGATATGCTAATTGATCATCACTCTGTCACAAAGATGGTTGCACCCACAGCTGAGGCCAAGTTCCCATAAGGAGCCTTAAGGAACAATCAGCAGGGACTTGAGGCTACACCCTCCCCTGCCCCTGTGGGACCTGACAAGGAACCTCAGGTGTAGTCCCCCACCCGGCTTAACAGGGGACCTCAAGGTGCACTTCCCGTCCTGGTGCTGGGCTAGGACCTCAGGCTGCTGCCCCACCCCAGTGCCAGGCTGGGAGACCTCAGGCCGTGCCCCCCACCAAGTGGGGCTTGACAGGGGACTTCAGGCCGTGTCCCCACCAGGCAGGGCTTGATGGGGGACCTCATGGTGCACCCCCAGTGCTGGGTCAGGGGAACTCAAGCTGCACCCCTGTCCTGGTGCAGGGCCAGGGGACCTGAGGCTATGCTCCCTGACCAGCAGGACTTGACAAGGTTGAGAATGGCCAGATCTGGATCTAGCCCAATTTTTTTTTTGGGGGGGGGGAGAGACGGCGGGGTCTGGGTCTCACACGATTTTGAGGTGCATGTGGGTGGGCAGGGACTTGACTCTGTGTCCTGTGTTGAGCCCCAGAATCTGACAGGAGGAAGGTTTTCATATACATTTTACTAATTTTCTTTCATCTCTGACACTTCTATTATAGAGAAAGGGCAAATAGCAATATTAAATTATTTCCTCTAATTAGCCCCATTTTAATGTGCATGAATTTCATGCACTGGGTCACTAGTTTATTATAGTAGAGGCCAGGTGCACAAAATTCGTACATGGAGGGGGGTTCCCTCAGCCCAGCCTGCACCCACTCCAATAGAGGACCCCTATTCCTGTGGGCTTACACCGACGGTCAGACACCCCTCTCACAATCTGGGACCTAGTTCCTAACCACTTGCCTGTCTGCCTGCCTGCCCCTAACCCCTCTGCCTGCCTGCCTAATTGCCCCCAACTGCCTCTGCCTGCCTGATCACTCCTAACTGCCCTCCCTTGCAGCTTGCTAGCTTGATCTCAGCCCCAACTGCCCTCCCCTGTCAGCCTGGTTGCCCCCAACAGCCCTCCCCTACTGCCTGATATCACCCCTAACTGCTTTCCCCTGCCAGCCAGATCATCCCTAATTGCCCTCCCTTCCCAGCCTGATCTCCCCTCCAATTGCCCTCCTGCCAGCCAATTGGGTTCTGATTGGTCAGTTTCTATGCCAGTCAGCATCAAAAGCTCCATCTCCTGGATAGCCATTGGCCCCTCATAGTTGACCCAGATTTGGTTCTGATTGGTCACTTTTTATGTCAGTCGGCGTCAAAAGCTCTGCCTCCTAGAAAGCCATTGGCTCCTTACATTCATCCAGATTTGGTTCTGATTGGTCAGTTTCTATGCCAGTCAGCGCCTCTGGGCTTATCAAACAGGGTCTGATCAGAAAGGTGAAGCTGATCAGCAGCTACAGTGGAGGCCTGGAGAGAAATGGAGGTATGGCTGTTAGCCAGGCAGGGAGAAAAAAGAGGCAAGTTCTAATCAACGGCTGCCACAGAGGCTACAGATCACACCCTGCCTCTCTCTCTGCAGGTTCTCTCCAGGCCTGATCCACAGCCCCCTAGGCAGACAGTGCTGGGTTGGGGCATCAGCAGTGGCCCCAGTCAGTGCTGACTTCTGGTCTGGTTGAGCCTTCAGTCATAATAGTCATATGACCTTGGCTCTTTATTATATAGATATTTTTAAGTTGTTAATTCACTAAAAGTATAATACACTTGCATAGCAGAACTTATCAAATATCACTAGGTCATGAAATTAATTTCCTAATTAGATCAAGGCCAATATTTACTTAAAATAATATAGGGGTAGGCAAAGTTTATAGTTATTCGTATGAAAAAAAAGATATGCAGGTCCAGCCAGCGCTGCTTAGTAGTTGAGTGTTGACCTATGAACCTGGAGTTAATGGTTCAATTCCCGGTCAGGGCACATGCTCAGGTTGTAGGCTCGATCCCTGGGGTGGAGTGTGCAAGAAGAAGCTAATGAGTGATTCTCTCTCATCATTGATGTCCCTATCTCTCTTTCTCTCTCTCTCTCTCTCTCTCTCTCTCTCTCTCTCTCTCTCTCTCTCTCTTCTCTCTGAAAAAAAAAATATTTTTAAAAAGTACATGCAATTTTATGATTATTACAGTAGCTTTATTAACTCAAAAGAATGTCACAATGTTACTATAAGCCTACTTTTGCCCACCCTGTAGTATAGAATAGAAAATATCAATGTGTACTGTACATAAAGCTACACACTTCTTCATAAAACTTTTATTTCTATTATATATATAGAAAAGGCATTTTCTTTCTACTATCCCACAAAAACATTTCATCAGAAGAAAGAGGCTAAAATAGGAGACCCTTGCTATTGCACAGTCTTTGGTATAGGAAATTATTATTCTCCACACCGCAATGAGGTTACTATGTAATTACTTAATATAAGGCAGTCACTTAAAAGAATTACTTCAGCAAGAAAAATATTCAGATTGTTTTACTACTTCTATTAGATTACTAGCTTATATATAATTAATTCATAATTCAGACACCATGCAAATCTGAAGTAAACATCTAATCAATTATAAATTAAGGGGTTCTAAAATACCTCACCATTCTAGAGAAGATCTACATAGTCTCACAGTTGTCAGCTAATTCATATGTAATCTTTAAATTTAGGGATCTTCATTTTTATTTCTATGTTCATCTCAGATCAGATTTAAATCTAGAACTTTACTGACACTCTTTTTTATTGGGAAGTGCATTCCAATTCTAAACTTAAACATTATTCCTGACGAAGTTCTTAAACAGAATTATTAATGAATTCTTTCAAAAAATGTTGGTCAAGGGTACTGTAGGGAGAGTGGTAATGTACCTGACCTCTTCCTTCTTCAGGGTCCAAAAGAGTACAGTCTACTGGCCAGAAATGTGGAAGATAATAGTAGCTTTGGAGAATCCAGGCTAATTCTCAGCTCAACCACTTGCTAAACATTAGGCAAACTCATCAATCTCTCTATGGCCTAATTTCTTCCTTTACAAAATGAGTTTAATATCAACTATTTTGCAAAGGTATTGCAAGAGCTAAATGTGAAAGTACAAAAAGTACCTAGTATAGTAATAGGAACACTATCAAATAGTCAAAATTTTCACAAATTCTGGGTTTGCCACATAGAAGCTATTCAATATTCATTGACAAATCTTAACCATTGCCAAAGGGAGTGGATCAAACATAAAATATATTATGATACTATTTTTAATCCAATTATTAAGATAAAATAAATATGGATAATTATCACCTTTTTCTTCATATTCTTCTCCTTACTTCATTTTCTACTTCACTTTTACCTTAAAACAGGTATTTCAAATCATATAAGCATGCTACCCCATTTCAATACACAAGATAGCCGCCCCCATGTGGTCAAAAATGGTTGCCTCCATGCGGACACAAGATGGCCAACAGGGGAGGGCAGTTGTGGGCAATTGGGCCAGCAGAGAAGGGTAGTTGGGGGTGACTGGGAGGACAGTTGCAAGGGAGGACAGGTGCAAGGGAGGACAGTTGGGAGGGACCAGGCCTGCAGAGGAGGGCAATTAGAAGTGACCAGGCCTGAAGGAGAGGGTAGTTAGGGGCGATCAGGCTGGCAGGGGAGGGCAGTCAGGGGCAACCAGGCTGGCAAGGGAGAGAAGTTAGGGGTCACCTGGCCAGCAAGGGAGGGCAGTAAGGTGTAACCAGGCCACCAGAGGAGGGAAGTTAGGGGTTACCGGGCCTGAAGGGGAGGGCAGGTAGAGGCGATCAGGCCAGCAGGGGGACAGTTAAGTGCCAATCAGGCTGGCAAGGGGGTGATCAGGCTGGCAGGTAGAAGCGATTAGGGGCATTCAGGCAGGTGAGCAGTTGGGAGTCAGCAGTCCTGAATTGTGAGAGGGATGTCCGACTGCCCGTCAAACATCCCTGGAGGGTCCCAGATTGAAGGTGTGCAGGCTGGGCTAAGGGACACACTCCATGCACGTAAGTGCACCAGGCCTCTAGTTTAGTAACATAAAAGGAAAATTGAAGGTTAATTTTTAAAGCTCCATGCAAACCTAAACTGCACACTATTGTTACCTAAAGCAAAATTTGGTACAAGATATAAGTAACAAAAATTTTTTTAAAAAAAGGTTGGATACAGAGGTTCAAGTACTAACTCCAAAAACACAAGTGCATTAGTTTATCAATTATAACAACTACACACTAACTCAAACAAATATTCATGTATGCATTAAAAAAGGACAACTTCTTTTAGTCTCTTGGAATTATTTTTAAGACAACAATCTTTTGAAGTGCTGCTACAAGAAGACATTTTGAGTTTAGATGCTAAAATTTACCTGTTTGAGTCCTTCATCAGTCAGTTTGTCCTGGTTGCCCACATGAACTTTCTGAAGTAAAGGGCAGTGAGAGGCAACCGCGATAATGGAGGTGTCAGACAGCTGCTTACACCTGTAGGCTGTATACCTAAGAAGTCCAGGACACTTAAATGCTAGCACACACACGCCAGTATCAGACATACTGCGACAATCAGAAATGTTGATTTCAATTATATTTTGACTCCTTGATGCAATTTTTTCCAATAATTCATCAGTGACCTGTGAGAGAGAAAAAAGCAATATATTTAATGTAGAACCTTATTTTCTATTGTTTTATTAAATTCCCCCCAATAAACAATATAATTAGGTTATTGCATGAAAACCACAAGAAAATCTTTCTACTTGACATTAAAGCATGATAAGAACTTTGGTATAATAAAAAACATATTTGATATTTTTGTCTCTGGGTCCTTGAAAGAGCTCCTAAAACCTTGGTGTTTCTTGAGTGATAGTGGTTATGTTAGAGTTGGCTTATTCCAACTCACAAGATTTATAAGATACTTCTTTCCAAATCCATGACATCACTACATACAGTGATATCACATTGGTAGCTTGAAATTAACTACAGTCAGAGTATTCATATCACAGAAAATGGCAACTATTACAAATTAGGGCTTTTTATTTGTTCATTTTCAAAAGCCAGTTGTTACACATTTACCAGCATACCACTACTAACAAATATCATAGAAGGATTTAGAACAATTTTAGTACTCTAAAAAATTCCTATCCTTATTGGATATTTTTATATATTTCCAATGTCAAGTATTGGCATACAAGTTTAAAGGAAGAATTGCAAATGGTTTGCAATAAGCACTATTAACCCTTTTTTTTTCCTTAACATATGCCAGCATATAAACTTTTTGGGCAGCCAGGTAATGAAGAGGATTAGAAAATTCTTCATTAAAATTAAAACAAATAAGCTATCTTATCCCATTATGCTTCCATTACTTCATCTATAATAACAGTATAAGGTTAGTAATATTAACATTATAACAATAATATATTAATAGGGATAATAATAGTGCAACTCATAAGGTTATTAAGAAGATAAAATGAATTAATATGTAAAAGCCAGTAGAACAGTATATGACACATCAGCAGTACAATATAAATGTTTGCCATCATTTTCTACTATTAAACTGTTATTCATGATATGACCCTTGCAAAAAGGGGAAAGTTTAATTGTTTTAAAGGGGTAATGAAAAAGAAAAATGAATAGGAATAAAACAAAGAGGATTAAGAAGCTACCCAAAATTATCAATCCAAACTAGAAATTATCTTCTTGACCATAAGAACTTCCTTTTTAACTTAAATTCACATACAAAGATACTAAAGTACAGAATTACAAATTATAGTCATTTGAATTATCTTGAAAAACTACAACATGAAAGATGTAATTTCTGAAGAGGAATAAAGTTTTTTTTTTAATAAATCAAATTGAATGTTTCTGAGAAGTGGATTACATATACCTGCTGACGACTACTAAGATCCAGCTGCTTCCAAAACTGGAAATCTAAACAAAGGTCACGCCAGTACTTGCAAACCAATGATGCAGAAAGGCAGCGTTCATCCAGGGATAAATTGGAAAATATCTGTGAATATAGAAGAAACCATGTATATGCTTAAACATTTTAAAGGCTTTAATTTGTTGGAAAAATATTAACTTTAAAGCACAAAAACATGCTGAATACAAGTAGCCATTATTAGAAGAGTCATTGTTAGAGACTGTCCTAAAGAGAAACACATGGTATAGGAGTAAAAGACATGGACCAGCATTACCTTACACGTAAGAAAAGGAGCAAAGGAGATGTATGCATGTGTGAGAGTGTGCACATGTACGTGTGTGTGTGTTTGCCAACATTTAAGAAAAAAACAAAACTTAAAAGGATAGGCCAAAAATTAATTTTAAAAATACTCATCTTTAAGGGAAGGGAGAAAAGGCTAGGAAGGAGAAAGGGATGAAAGTGAGACTATTCTGAAGATACCTTGTTTTATAGTTTTTACCTTAGAACCAGGTGAACTATTTATATGGTTTTTTTAATGTCATAAAAAGGACATTTTACCTAGACAATATTTTTTTCCAGAACTTCATAAATCCAATCTAATCCCAAGGAAACTATCACTTATCCCAAATATAAAACATCCTACAAAATATGTGATGAGGACTCCTCAGAAAATCAAGATCAGGAAAAAACAAAGAAAGGCTGAGAAAGTATCAAAGATAAGAGGAGAATAAGGAGGAATGAACTGGGAAAAGGCCATTACTTTAAAGCACAAAAACATGTTGTGGGATCAAAGCTGATCTCACTCTTCGACAAAGGTTTCGTAGTAATGTAAGGTAATTAATTTAGGGGAAACTGAAAATGCGTAAGGAGTATATGAGGAGTCTGCACTACCTTTGTAACTTTTCTGACTAAAATTATCCCAAAATTAAATGCTTATCTTTAAAAGAATTTTAAAAGTAAAAATTATTTTTCAATGGTCAGGATTAGGACCAATATTGATTTTTTAAAATTCAGAGACATTATCACAAATACAATTGTGGACCATATTGAGATCCTGAATTGAACCAACTATAAGATATTTCAGAGACAATCAGATAAAACTGAACATGAGACAGTAAATGACTTAACAAAAATTATTTCTAGCCAAAACGGTTTGGTTCAGTGGATAAAGCGTCCGCCTGCGGACTGAAGTGTCCCGGGTTCAATTCCAGTCAAGGGCACGTACACTGGTTGCGGGCACATCTCCAGTAGGGGGTGTGCAAGAGGCAGCTGATGGATGATTCTCTCTCATCGATGTTTCTAACTCTCTATTCCTTTCTCTTCCTCTCTGTAAAAAATCAATAAAAATTTTTTTTAAAAAATAGCAAAACATAAGTAAACTAAAAAAAAGGCAAAATACTAAAAAAAAACTACTGAAATTATGGAAGGATACATGGGGAGTTCATTATTTTCTACTTTGGTCTGTACATGAAGATTTCCATAATATTAAATAAAATTTGAAAATTTTAATAAGAACAGGTGCTCTACACTATATTGTCTTATCTTGTTTGAATTGTGGCTTTACCATTTATTATCTATGTAATCTTGGGCAAATTACCTAATTTTTCTGTACCTCAAGCTCCTTATCTAAAAAATGGGAATAATATAGTTTTTACCTGATGAAGTTATTGTGAGGACTAAAAGGGTAAACATAAAGTTTTTGGAACAGCATCAGGAACCGAGTAAACAGTATGATTCTTATATCTGTGACCTAGAATGATACCTCTATACAGTCCAATGTTACAGAAATCTAAGCTAGGATCTCTGCTATGTTTACATCTTGAGCATTGGGAAAACAACTGCCAACTGCTGTTCCTTCACAACTCGTTTTTGTCCTCCAAGGACTAAATGGAAACAGGCTTAAGAATCACTGGCAGAGAGGTAGTTAGGCCCACTGCAGTCCTTCACCCCCATTCATGACAACTAAAACCACTGGACAACATAGCAAATGCAATTACCTCAGGAGTCCAAAAGATTAATAACATATGGATTGGGGAGGTGAGCCAAACTTAAAGAATTTCCAATAACAGAGTTTCCTTTTCTCGACCAGTGTGGAACTGAGGATGGCCCCAGTACAGAACTACATGGCAGGGATAATTAATGAAAACAAAAAGAGAAAGTCATCTCTCTGGACAGAAAGAGAGCCTCTGTGAAAAAGAGAATGTGGCCGAAACCTGTTTGGCTCAGTGGATAGAGCATTGGTCTACAGACTGAAAGGTCCCAGGTTCGATTCTGGTCAAGAGCATGTACCTTGGTTGCGGGCACATCCCCGGTAGGGGGTGTGCAAGAGACAGCTGGTCAATGTTTCTCTCTCATCAACGTTTCTAGCTCTCTATCTCTCTCCCTTCCTCTCTGTAAAAAAATCAATAAAATACATTTAAAAAAAGAAAAAGAGAATGTGGGAAGAGTCCCCATTCGGGAGTTTTCTTTTCTTTCACTTTTCCCTATTCTCTCTACTGGTCATGTCCCAAATTCAGCCTCAGTCACAGAGCTGCAATGTGTCAGCTGTGCAGGCACCTAAAATTCCGGAAGCCCATCCTTGGCCACAAGAACCAGGAAAAGACCCTGTGGACCAAAGAGTGTGAGAGGAACCTCCATTACCTTTTTCTTACCACTTCATCATGTAAACAGCCCAAATTCTGCAAGTCCATATAGCAGCACAGGCAAATAACACATGATGTAACTATGAGGGAAATTCCATTTTTCTATCTAGAGAACCAGGAAAAGAGATCACTAGGTCACAGAGTGTGAAGGAATGATCAAAGGAGAGATCTGGAAAGAGCACTCCTAATTCAGTGACAGAAGTGACAAAAATAAAACAAAACAAAAAACCTGAGTTAACCACATGTGCAGAAGAAACCCAAAGAAGTTGCACAGCAAAATCTTTGAAAACTGGGGTAACAATGGAATCACAGGCCAAGTAAAATGAGATAGGAATTTCAATCTAAGTATTACATTTCTGACCCCTGGCAAATCTGATAAATCTAGACAGTCATAAAACTCAATGAATCCCAATAGGTTTAACTCAAAGAGATCTACCTAAGACACATTATAATCAAATTGTCAGAAGACAAAGAGAGAACCCTGAAAACAGCCAGAGAAAAGTAATTCATTATATTCAAAAGACTTTCAATCAAATTAACATCTGATCTCTCATCAGAAACCATATAAGGCAGCAGGCAATAGGATAACATACTTAAAAGCGCTGAAAGAAGAACTCTAAACCAGGAATTCTATATCTAGCAAAATTATCCTTCAAAGATGAAGGCAAAATTGAGATATTTCCAGATAAATGAACATTGGGGGATTTTATCACAAGTAGACCTAACTACAAGAAATGTTAACAGGAATCCTTCAGACTGAAATGATGGAACACTTGAAAGCACAGTAGCTTGAAAGCACACCCAAAAAAAATAAAGAACACCAATAAAGGTAAGTATTTATGCAGGTAAATAAAAAAATTCAGTTAATTGTTAATGTATTTTTGGCTTTTACTCCATTTCTAAAGGATTGAAAATGACAACCACATAAAATAATAATTAGAAATCTAATTATTTGTGTTAATTGTATCAACACAAAACATATACAGCAATAACAACATAAACATGAAAACGTTTTTATATACCCCTAGAGGCCTGGTGCATGAAATTTGTGTGTGGGGGGGGGGGGGGTCCCCTCAGCCTAGCTTGCACCCTCTCCAATCCAGACCCCTAGAGGGATATCCAATTGTCAGACATCCTTTTCACAATCTGGGACTGCTGGCTCTAACTGATCACCTGCCTGCCTGCCTGATCACCCCTAACTGCTCCCCCATGCCGGCCTGTTCACCCCCAACTGCCCCCCCACCGGTCTGGTCGCCCCCAACTTTCCTCCTGTTAGCCTGGTCTCTCCATGCAGCCTGCTGTTCAGTTGTTTGGTTATCCCTCACTAAACTCTCTGCCGACCTGGTGGTCCCATTCAACCAGCTGTTCAGTCATTTGACGGTCCCTCACTAAACCCCCAGCCAACCTTGTTGCCCCATGCAGCCTGTTGTTTGTCATCCATACAGTTGTTTCAGTCATGATGGCCCCTGGCTTTTGATATATTAGGATTAATACTAAATTGGTATTTGTAGTTTAAATGCCTGACATCAAGCTTTTGATTGCCAAGACATCTATTTCAAAATACATCAATCTTGAGTAAGCATACTGTTAGTTATATGACACAGATACTAGCAAAACAACCAGATAAGGAACTAGGTTACCACCACCCATGAAGGTCTGACCTTCAGAAAGGCCTGGCTAACCTAGAGTGGCCTCATTTCTCTCTTCCTGCTCTAATTCCTGCCCCAATTCCTGCTCTTGTGCTTTAAGTTTGTCCATTAAAGTAAATCCGCAAAACTCTAGACACCCTACCCTTGAACTTTACTAAAGGCAGAGCCCCAAGTCCACATTCTCTCTAACCATGACCTGGCTATGTGGGCCTTCAGTGTACTTTATGCCCTCCAGAATCTGAAAGTAATAACTCTTGTTCCTCAAAGTTGCCTGATGGTTCTTTGCTAAAGTGTACCCTGCAATCATAATTAAGAAGCAAAAGAGCAGGCCCAAACATAAATAAGGGCCCCGTTGGAGGAAATGTCTCGAGCTTGCTAGGACAGAGGTGTGCCTGGGCAAGCACTGTGTGCATTTCTGACCAAGGACACTCCCATCAACAGGCTTCAGGCCAACAGAACAATATTAACCAAAATGAAATTGTTATAAATTATGCTGTTAATTTATAAACCTCGGGGCAAATGCTAAGAACATAACTAAACACAGTCACAAATCACTTAACAGGAATGCATTCTGAGAAATGGATCATTAGGTGATTTTGTCATGGAAGTATCATAGAGTGCACTTACACAAACCTGGATGGTATAACCTACTACACACCTGGCCTATGTGATATATATAGCCTGCTGCTCCAAGGCTACAAATCTGCACTGCATGTCACTGCACCGAATACTCCAGGCAACTGAAACACAATGTATTTGTGGAGATCCACAATCTCTGTGTGGGCTGGAAAGAGCA